GGGCAAGGCTGGCCAAGGGAAAGAGTGCAGGGTATGTGGGCAGCAGCCCTCACCGCCTATGGGAAGTGGCCGAGGCTGCAGAGGCTGTGCTAGCCTGAACGTGTGCAGCAGCTCATGAGAAAATGGAGCTCTGTCCACAAGAGCAGAGACTCCCATCGCCGGGAAGGGCTGCTCCCTCTTCCAAGACATTCTCTGCACCACAGTTAGCCACTATTCCAGAACACAAATCGAACCAGGTCACATCCCTGCTCCCCATACTTTTGCTGATGCCACATCACATCCGGGGAGGATAACACAGTCAGAGCCAAGGTGCTGCTGCTGTCCACCACTCCTGCACTCACTGCAGACATCATTAAGCAATCACTGCATTTCACTGAAGCAGGGCACTCAGCACAGCCCTCCCACGCAGTCATTACCAATCAATCACTCAGAATGAAAATGCTTCCTCCACCTGACCCTGTGCAATCTTGGTCTCTTTCCACCCTCATTCCCCATCACTGCTCTGTGCTCCAGAATCTTTAAAATTGCCTGCTGCCCCCAAACACACCCACAGTTTTCTCACTCTTCAGAGCTGCAATCACGGTCCCTCGGGCAGCCTGCGACACATGTGCTGACTGCTCCCTGTCCCTCCCCCACCCTGCTCCCAGCTCCCCGACTTCCCACAAGGATACTGCCCCAGCTGGGAGTAGGGCTGCCCCGCCACAACTGTCGCCTGGCCTCCCTGAAGCCCTCGGTTGCAGCCAGTGGGACACGGGCAGAAGACAGGCGGTCTTTTTTTCTCAAGTCTCTCTCTGGAGGATTGTAGCATAGCCCCCTCCGCCTTCTTCCTGGACTCCTTCCCTTTGGTGCCGGCAGGGAGAGGGTGAGAAGCCAAGTAGCTACCAGTGGCTCAGAGGTGGACGGCGCAGGGTGAAGCCAGCAGGGCCACTCCCAGCCCTGACCTCTGATCTCTGGCCAGCTGTGGAAGAAGCCACACCTCTACCTGTCTAAGGCCCCACCCTAACATACGTCCTCGCACCTGCTGCCTTGTTCCCATGACCAACCCCAGTGCCACCTTCTCCATGAAGTTTTCCCAGAGTCCCAAGATCCTCTAGGGTGCCCAGTCCTTTATACACACTTCTCACCAGCATGCTCTGAGCCAGAGGATGGCCGTGACCTCTGCCACCAGCCTGGCTGAGGGCCACCCTCTCCTCTTCACCCATCCCTCTCTGCAAGCACCACTTACGGGGCTCGTGCTCAGACCTGACCCGAGCACCCCTAGTTGGTCCAGGCTGGGGCTGGACAGGGAAGTGAGCTGCTCCAGCACCTCTGCAGGCCCTGGCTCGCTTGGCGTGCCGCACGTCGCACTGTCCCTCACACTGCCAGTTCCACCCAGGGCTGGGTGCAGCGCAGCCCCACCCAGCCCCGGCATGGCGGGCCTCAAGCAGCTACTTCCTCCCTGGCTGGAGCCTGTATTGTCCTGCTCCTCGGTTGTTCATAAGAACAAGGGCAGAGAAGGGGAGCGTTTCCCCAATCTTTGTATTGGTCTCAAGTGGCCTAGGAAGTCCCACGGTAGGGATCTGTGTTCCTCAGGCCACATGCTTTGCAAACGGCCCACACCTCTTCTCTGAACTTGAGGCCACCCCGACCCTCCTAACTGAGGCTTGACCTTCAGCATCCTGCCCCAGGCTGCAAGCCCCTCGCTCCCCTGGCAATGGGCACACGCAGCCCAGATCTCAGGCGGTGACAGTTATTTTGGGACAGGGAGGAGCGCAGGAGGATGCGGATGAGGTCAGAGTGGGAAGGGACAGAGGCAGGTTTTCTGCCCACGATTATGTGTCCCAAGCACTCTGGATGCTGCCCAGGGCCCAGGGCTGCCTCAAGGAAGGACACACCCACCACAGCCCTCTGGCCTCAGCCTCGTCCCCACAGAGGCAGGCTTGGAGCCCTGGGCTCGCTCCCGCGGCAGCAGCTGCCCTGCGCAGGGAGAGTGTCCCAACAGTGGTGATTCCAGCAGCAGGCGGACTCGGGGTGGGGTGAGGGTAAGGCGTCTGAAACTAATCAGATGGCAGATGGGGAGCCCGAGAAAGAGCCTGGTCCCTTGGAGTGAGTAGTGATGATAATTTGTTGCGCATTCATTGGGCGTCTGTTACATACATGGCAGGGTATGAGGGCTGGCAAGACAAGATGAGTCACGCTGTGTCTGTGAAGCCCGCACTTCACAATGGTACAAGGCCCTCCGTGAGCACCAGGAGCCGGAAAGTGGTTTATAAAGTGGTTTATAACTCGGTTCCCCAGGCAGCCATCACGTGATTCAGGTGCAAAAGTGAGCACGGTGCTTTAGGCACGAATTGGAGGACTTGCAAACATTTCAGAAAGTCAGAACTCCATGCTTCCTGTGTACATGCAGTCGGGGACTGGGTCTGGTGCTCAGAGGGGCTCAGCGGGGGTAATCACGGCGACTGGTCCCATTTGTACAGGGCCCGTGATTGAGGAGATGGCTCTGCAGGCACCTGCGGCAGGTGACGCGCGTTGCTCCGATTCTGCGCAGAGGTGCCCACTCTCCACCTGACTCTCCCAAAAGCTGGGGGGCCACCTGAACCCCCCTCTGCTTTTGCCTCCCTCTGAGGCCTCCTCTTAAATCCTCCCGGTGTCCCCCACTCTGTCCTATAGGCCAAATGGCCTTCTGGGAAATTCTTCACACCCAGGGCTGCCCATCACCCCAGGCCTGGCAGCCACGTCTGCTCAAACCCCTTCCCCACAGAGGACAGCTTCTGTCCAGCCCTGCCCTCTCCTCACTGTGTCCCTCCTGTCCCACCCACTCCTCACTGTCCCTTCCAGGAGGCCAGGGGAGAGGAAGCACTTGTCCAGATCTGTCCTTCCTCCTGCCATCCCCCACCCTTGCCAAACTCCAATCCCGCCAGCTCCAGGCCACCCTGAGCCCGACGCTCTGAAGCACAAAGCTGAGAGCCACTGGTACCCACTCGGCCACCAGCAGGGAACCTAAAGTCCATTTGACAGCTGCTATGCTTCCCCGGTCGGCGGGGAGGGAGAAGGGCAAGCCTGGCCATGAACATGAACATCAACATCGGGACCGCATTTGGGAAGGACGCCCGTGCAATGTCAAGTGGGCGAGGACACTGAGGATATAATCATAGTGCCTGCCATGAACGGGACGGGGGCCAGGCCCTCTGCAGGGTCGCCTCACTTGGTGTCCCCCAGGGACCTGCAAGGGGCCTGTGACGCCCGTCTTTCAGATGAGGCAACTGAGGCCCAGTGAAGGCCACCAGAGCTTCTGAAGGCACAGAGCTGGCAGGCGTCAGAGGTGAAATCCCAACCTGTGTCTCCCAGGCTTCCGAATCTCCCGCATTCGATACTTGCAGCAAAAATTGGGTGCAGTGGGGACAACAGCCGCTCATTTGAAACTTGGGCCGCCCCAGGAACCCTGACGTGTTCGGGCGCTCTGCCCGGATCCCATCATCCCACCTCTCCCCAGCCTCATCTCATTAATCTTGGCGCTCCTCTCCCGAAGTCTTCCCAGGGCCCAGGGCCCAACCTCCAGAGGGAGGGCGCTTCCCAGGGTCTCTGGACACCCTTTAATTAACCCGGACGACCCTCCCCTGACTGCGGCCAGCTGAGTCCCTTCACGCTCTCACCGTCCCGAGGCAGCCTGCCTGAACTGTGACGCCCGGCCCAGCCCACTCCCTCCCGAGTGAGCGTGATCCCTCCAATCCCCATAGGCTGAACAGCCATCAGCCTCTCTTCCCTGGCCTGGGGAGCTTGGGTGAGGGTCCTTTAGCCAGAAGAGAAGCTGTCGGAGTGGCCCGTCATGCCACCTGCCCAAGCAAAATCCTCTGGGAGTCCTGGAATGTGTTACCTTGACTCCCCTGGCCTGCTGCCCCCACCCCCAAAGGAGCATGGCTGATTCTAGTTAACAGGTGGAGCAATGGAACTTCCTCCTCTTTCTCACGGTCAGGGAAAGTCATGACAAAGTTCTCATGAGCCCTCACCTCTCACTGGCACTAACAATGCACTTGAACCCAACACCTGGCATGATGTCCAGCCCAGAGCAGGTGCCAGCACACACATTGGATGAACAGACATGGGGAGGAGCTCTAGAGCAGGCATCCCTGACAGGCAATCTACCTTACACGTGAGTGATTGGCAAACGCGGAGTACAGGTCCAGATCAGGAGGGTTAACTGTGTCATACACATCACCTTGCCACCCTCAGCTTGGGCCTCCCTCTCACAGGTGTGAGCACAACTGTGCATGTACAAGATGCCACCACACAGTGAGCAGGCACTGCACTAAGCCACTTGGCCAGGGCAAACAGCATCTTAGGATTCCCGGCCCATGCATTCAGCTAGCAAACATTTTTGTGGGCCTGCTGTGAGACCCAAGAGGGAACATGATGCACACGGTTCCTGCCCTCAAAGGGCTGGTCTTCCCTCTACTCTGTACAGGACCTCGTGATTTCCCAACTGGACCATGCCCTGTCTCTTATCTGATTCACCACAACCCAGAAGTGAACCAGGTGAATCGGGCATGGAGAAGAGTTTCTGAATGAATGAATGAGTGAATGAGTGAATATTTGCTTGAATGAATGAATGACGGGTGGATGGATGCATGGATGGATAGACTGATGCTTGCACACATGCATGGGTGGACAGACAGATACATGGATGGGTGGATTCATGTATGCATGCATGCATGGAAGTGTGGACGCATGGATGGATGGATTAATGCATGCATGCATGGATGAGTGGATGGACGGATGAGTGGCTGGATGCATGCATGCATAGTGGACAGATGGATGCATGGATGGGTAGATGCACGCATGTATGGATGCAGGGATGGGTGGATTCATGTATGCATGCATGCATGGAAGTGTGGATGCATGGATGGATGGATTAATGCATGCATGCATGGATGGGCGGGCAGACAGATGAGTGGCTGGATGCATGCATGCGTGGTGGACAGGCAGAACAATCAGTGAGTAGATGACAAGCAATCATCCTAGATGTTGTCATTCCCTTATTTGATTGAAAAGCAGTGGCCTGAGTGGGTGCAGATGGCAAGGCCACAGAAGAGCCTCTGGCGTGGGTGCTGTCCCATGAGCACTGGCCTCACCCACTCGCATGGCAGCTTACCTGGTGGGCAGTTACATCCTGGAGACATCCTGGGGGCCTCCCGGCGCCTCCGCGAGTGGAGCTTCCATTTCTGCACAAGGAGAGAGACAAGAGGAATCACCAGGAGCGCTAAACCAGCGGCCCTGGGAAGTGTCTACGGGCTGGTGGGGAGGGGGAGGGGGAGGGGCCCCGGTGGGGAGCTGGCAGGCGGACTGTGTCTGGATCAAAGGCTGGCAGTTAACGGCCTTCCCCTGGCCACCAGGCGTCTGGGTAATCAGAAGCAGACGGGCAGGCCCAGCTTGGTAATCTCGTGTCTGATGTCTGCAGAGTGCTCTTTAAAGACGTTAACCCCGACCACGCGGCCCTGTAAACCAGCTGTGGCCTTCCTGCACCCCCGCACCCAGGCTCACAACGACATGCCTTTCTCAGCTCTCTGCTAATTGTCCCCTGTCTCAGACCAGGCTCCTGATGGGTTCTGAGGTGGGGCCAGTGTCTTCTGTTCTCCTAGTGGCCCTCTCAAAGCTAGCACAGGCGGATTGGGAGGAGGTGGGGAGCAGGGAGCTGGGACGGCCCTCCACACCTCTCCATCAAACCTCACCAGCTTCAATTCACTGAGCCAATCTGGAGGCGGAGACCCCAAAGAGGCAGGATACCCCTGACCTTGAAGGCACTGCCATGTCCACGGCGGCAAATGGACGAGCACCTGCAAAGTGGGCATGCATGGCAGGAGGCCTGCAGTGCCGACCTCCATAGGAAGGGCTGTGTGCTACATGCCTTGTAGAAGGGCTCTTCCTTGATGCTGACAACAAAGTGGGCCAGACCAGCAATGAGGCCAGCAGGACACCCCTGGAGCCACACTGCCCGGGGCTACTGGGGTTCCCAGGCCGGGGTTGGTAAGAGTCCCTCCCTCACTGAGCTACTGGGAGGACTGAAGGCTGGTGCATCAGCAGAAGGGCTCCTGGGGAGCTCTGCACAGATGTGAGCCACTGGTGAGCTCACCTGACAGGTGAGGAGCCCAGAGCACAGGTGGGAGCCTGCAGCCCAGCCAAGGTCACGGGTGACCTGGAGGACAGAGCTGGAATTCCATCCTATACCTTCTGCTGCTGTGCCTCACTTAAAAGCAGGAGGCCTCGGGGCCAAGTCGGCCTTTAGTTGTACTTCCGTTTGGTTCCCACATTGATTCTATCATCATCATCATTGTTATTGAATTGTTGCCAGTATTTTGAAGTTGGGTCGTTTTGGCCACAAACTTACACTTCTAATTCCTCCAGCAGAGCTGAAGGCTCTGACCCCACAGTGCATGTGAACCGCCAGCAACGACAGCCCAGCCAGTGCACCTCACGCCGCACCCCAACAGACAGCGGCCAGCAGTCAGGATGCAGCTGGCTCCACGAGCCTTTCTCCAGCATTCTCTCCCTCTCCACTGCAAAACCTGGCCGTGCAGGATGGGCCCTGAGAGGTAGACAGGCACGTGGGAGTGTCACAGGAGCTGATGGCACCTTCGGTTTGTAGTAGGGAGGGGAGACCGGGAAGCTAACAACGGATTCAGAGTAAGCTGGGGTCTGTTGGGGCCTCCCTGTGTGCCGGCCCTGAGCCCATTTCATAATCAAACCTAAGGTGGGTTTATAGGGACCTCGTTCTCTATTTAAGGAGACTTGGGCTCGGGGAGATGGAGGGATGTGCTACAAGAAACACAGCCAGTGTGGGGAGGGCCTGAGCTGTGGACTCATATGGAAAGTCCATCCTGCTCAAGAAAGGTGGCACGAGTGCCCCTGGGTGGGGGGCAGCACGGTGACAGAGAAGGCAGGGGGCGCTGGGGGCCAAAGGGGGCTGCTCGCCAAGGCAGACACAAGCCTCATGCACAGCTATTAGGTGGGTGGACACTGGGGCCCGGCCACAGAGGGGCTTAGTGTAGCTACCAGGCCAGCAAAGGACCCCTGATGCCCAGCTGGGAGCCTGGCTCTTCAGTGCCACTCTCCAGAAAGGGGCTGTGTGGCTCTCTCCACAGGCCTGCTGTCTGGCAGCCCGGGGGCACGCAACAGTGAGTCACTGCTGACAAGCCAGGGCCGGCACGTTTGCAGCACTTAGTGAAGGCTATCGTCATGAGGGTTCCTGCTCCCTCACCTGCAGCAGCGAGTGGATGCCGTCACGGACTTGGCACCTACCCGTGGAGAGGGTACAGGGATGGAGGAGCCTGTCCTCACAGGACCATCCTTCTCATGGTTAACAGGGAAGCAAAATGTATCAGACGGCAATACACGTGTGGGAAATGAAGGAGGCCAAGTGGACAGAGCGGGACGGGGGTCCGGGAAGGCCCCCATGGAGGGGTGGTGGGAGCAGAGGCCCGACGGAAGTAAGGAAATGAGCCATGTGGTATCCAGCGCATAAGACACATGGTGTCTGGAGCAAGCGTGTTCCAGGCAGAGGGATCAGCCAAGGAGAAGGCCCCCAGGCCAGAGCGACACCAGCTGATCAGCAGGCAGTAGCAGAGACCTTGAACTTGTCACACGGATCCCTGCCATTCTGGTGGCCCGATGAGAGCTGGTAGTAGCCGGAGTGGTGCCATCCAGGCTCCCTCAACCAGGCCACTCCTTCCTTAGCTGCTGGATGTGGTGGCTGCTGATGGCTGGCCTCTCTCTGGAACTGCTCTTAGCTGGAGGCAGTGGCCTTGGCCAGGGCCATGCCCACCCCCAAGGGACAACCCAGGTTCAATCACTTACAGATAAAGAATGCAAAGACCTGGACCCTTTGCCTCAATGGGGACTGGCTCTGAGGGCCTCCCCAGCTCCAGAGCACTCACGGAAGCAGCAAGGCCTCTGTCCAGCCTTTCTCTGTCCAACCCCATATCCCTCTCTCCCTGCAGGGTTGACCCCCATAAGCCATCTTGTCATGAACTTCCACCCTGGAGCCCCTTCCTCTGGGACCTGACCCAAGACACAGCTGCAGGTGACTGCCAACAGCCCAAGCCCTCGCTGAGCCTCATCACCATCCTGGGCAAGAGGCAGGCAAGATCAGTCCCCAGCCAAGGAGCCTCAGCGATAAGCCACAGGGGCTGGCATCCGGGTCCTCCAACATCACGCTTTGGTCCCCGCGTTTACTGAATTCCCAGTAAGAGGCATCCGGCTGAAGGCAGACTTCAGCCTGAGTGTTGAGTGGGACATGGTGGCCACCTGGATGGGACAAAGGGACACTCAGAAAGCTGGTACACTATTTCGGCATGTATCTGTGGGGTGTTTCCAGATGAGAGTAGTGTTTGACTCAGCAGGCTAAGGAGACAGCCAGCGCCCATGTGCACAGGCCTTGACAGCAGAGGAAGGAAGAGGAAGGGGGATCTCCCCATCTCCGTGTGAGCCGGGCGGTCTTGTCCCGCCCTCAGCCACCCACCGTCCTCACACCTGCAGCGGCTCCCTGGGCTTTAGTCTGCACTGGAGCTACAGCACTGGCTCCACACTGGGGGGCTCATGGGTTTCTGTAACCATGCTCTGCCTTGGGCAGCCAAGACACTGCCACCACTGAGATGTGACAGGGCCAAGAGCAGCTGAGAGCAGCTGTGTAGGGAGGTAACAAGTTTGAGGAGCTGGTGGAGGAGTCAGGTGTGCAGTGGCAAGGCTAGCCTGGAGCTCAGCAGAGAGGCCTGTGGGAGCCAGGGACACCATCCAGAGGGCAAAGTCCCCAGGGACACGGGCACAACACAGTCTATTTCAGGGCACAGGTGTGTTTTCCCGGGCTGCCCGGTGCCTATTTTCAAAAGTTTTCAAACCCAACATCACCAATGCTCCCACAATCAACACCCCACCCTCCAGCCCCAACTCCAGCTCAGCCCCTCTCACCCTCCTACTCCAAGGATCCTTGCAGCCCGCAGGAGCCGCAATCCACGGGTCCCATCACCTTGGCACCTTGGCACCTTGCCACCAGGCTTCACGTCCCTCCATGCCCAGCTCAGACTCTGGTCGCTGGTCACAGCCACAGTCCCGTCTGCACCCTCAGCTGCCTGGATGCTGCACCCTGCGTGCTGGTTCCCTCCCCCACCTCCTTCCTCTCCATCCCCTTTGCTGCTGCCTCCTTATGCACTTGACATCTGGACACTGGAGGGATGCGGGGGCCTGCCGGCCAGGGCTTCACCGCTTGCCCCGGGGGCATCGGCTCTCCCGCAGACCTTGTGGGTCTCCCGGCTTCAGAGCCGTCCATGTGCGATGAAGACGTCCTCACTGTGCTTCCAACATGGGCCTTCCCCTGAAGGGAGGCTGTGCCACGGAGCAGCCGACTCGACGCTCCATGCTCAGGCATCTTAGAAGGAGCCCTGCCGGGGCCGGCACCATGACAGGTTAACTGGCCTGAAGCACCGGCATCCCATATGGGCGCCGGTTCTAGCCCCAGCTGCTCCTCTTCCAATCCAGCTCTCTGCTGTGGCCTGGGAAAGCAGTAGAAGATGGCCCAAGTCCTTGGGCCCCTGCACCCATGTGGGAGACCCGGAAGAAGCTCCTGGCTTCGGTTCGGCTCAGCTCCGGCCGTTGCAGCCATCTGGGGAGTGAACCAGTGGATGGAAGACCTCTCTCTGTCTCTGTAACTCTTTCAAATAAATAAATCTTTTTTTTTTTTAAAGGAGCCCTGCAGACCTGAGCTGCAGATCTATCTCTGACCCCAGCCGCCCCTGCCGCTGACTGTGCCGTCACAGGTGACAGCAGCTGCGCCCTGCCAGCTACTCACAACCTCAACCATCTCTGGTGCCTCCTCCCCTCACCCCACACCCACGTGTCAGAAAGACCCCGTCTCCACAGCCAGTATGACTCCCTGGTCCGAACCACCTCCTCTCTGGCCCCAATACTGCGATAACCTCGGGGGCCCCCTGATTCTGCCCTTGTCCCTACAGAACATTCTTGATGCCTCCATACCTGCCAGGCTTTCTCCTGCCACAGGACCTTTGCACTTTCTGGTCTCCCAGCTATGCACCTGGCACACACTTGGGGAAGCCTTCCTTACCTCTTGCCCACCAATATATTTCCTACTCTCCTTCCTGTTTTATTGCCTCCTTTGGGGCGCTGTGCATGTGCGAATGCCTGGGTGTGTTTGCATATGTGTGCATGCTTGCCT